TCCTGTTTTTAAAAAGCTGAAATCAGAAAGTGCTGTCATTTTCTTTAAATACACTCTTTTGAATAAAACATCTATTCTTAATGCCAGCAGCAAGCTTAAGGAGCATGTTCCCGATGACATGATTGATAACGAGAAGGCTTTTTCAAGATGTTTCTAATTTCATCTTCCTGGTTAAAGAATGCGCACTTTCTACCATGATGTATGGCCTAATAAGGTGTGCTTGAACCGGAGTTATTTATTTATGCTTCCATCTTTGACAGATGAATATTAACTACTGAGGAAATCGTAAAGCCAATTAGTAAAAGCTGAATAATGTCCACGTGAAGATGTGAGCACAGAAACACGAGTTACTTCTCATCCACACCACAGAGCCACAGATGTTCTCTGCCTTCCCAGGAAGCCGCGGCCCAACCGGGCCTGGTGGCTCCTCCCCCTTCAAATGCCCTGAGTTGGCCTTGAGGGCGTCCAATCCAGGAGCTGGTTCTGGGACACCCAAGGGAGAGTCACCCTTGCTAGTGAATTCCATCCATGCAGGACCCGCAGAAAAAGTGCATTTCTGCAGGTCCTGCAACTCGGCCATCCAGCCTCCAGCACTGAGGGCAGATGAGGAAGAGGAGCGGGAAGCAGAGCTCCAAAGACAGGCTCCCCTCCCCTCTGCCTCTGGGAGAGAGTCTGCTGTCAGGGCACCAAACTTCTGGTCCCACGCCTCCTCATCTCCGCCTAGTCTGGTCTACTCTTCATGATAAGGTTGCTCCCAGGACCTGCACATGCAGTTCATACTTACTGAGCACCTACTACATGCCGGGCACCAGAAACCCAAAACAGACACAGTCCCTGCTCTCATGGGGCTTCCAGGTCAGAGGGCAATAGGCAGGACCCTCTGGGGACCCAGGAGTGAGCCCGTGAGCTGGGACAGTGCTGGTCCCTGCTCCCAGAATCTGCCTCCCCCCAGAAGCTGAGAAAGGGAGGCAGAGGAGCTGCCAGCAGCTTCCGAAATTAACAAGAGGTTAGTACATCCTGCGCACGCTGCAAATGTCGTGTTATGCTTCCAGAAACAAAGAGCAAACAACCTGAGACTGCAGCTGGTGGCTGCAAATTATTCTTTCCCCCAGCACCTTGGGAACCAATCTGTCACCTTGCACTCTGTACCCCATTGCTAATTTTTAATAATTCCTTGACAATGGCTTCGCCACATTGACACAACACTACCTCTACCACAGTGCCATTCCAGAAAGCAGAGGCCTGTAGGTGTAGAAAGAGGTCCCGCAGCCCACCCTCCCACCCTACCCCAGACCTGGAATATTAGCCACTGGGCCTAGAATATTGTGCCTAAAAACTGACCAGTACATTTTCTTCATTACAAAAAACTTGCCTTTCTAAAGGAAAAGGTCCCTCTCTAACCTGAACCACCAGTTGTAACTAAAAACGTACGTGGCATCTCCCTCCCTTGCCTGACTCTGTGTTGCCTGGTCTGGGGACCTCACTGACGTGTGCGGATGGGTTTTCCACGAAGACACCTGCCCGCTTCCTGAAGATTCCAAAATGGCAAAGCTGATGGCAGGAAGGGACGGAGATCAGATCTAGGCTTGAGGGATCCTAACCCATCTTCACCAGGAGGGACCTTCGAGAAATTCCCATCCTGACCTTGATTTCCTCCTTTTTCAGACAAAGACACGACCCCGGTCCACACGGGATCGAAGTCAGGACTAGAACAGGAAGCCCCTGCTCTTGGCCGTGAGACTGTCTCTACCACGCCACAGGACTCCTGCAACATTAGGGTTTGCTCCCTTCGTGGCCCCAGCTTATCAACCTGGGATTTTACTCCCAAAATAAATGGTGCAGGATTCCCAAGGACTCTTTAACAATCCAGTCCCACTATGGCTGTTGTGGCTCAGTGGACTGAGTGCCTGCCTGTGAACCAAAAAGTCGCTGGTTCGATTCCCGATCAGGGCACTTGCCTGGGTTGCGGGACAGGTACCCGGTTGAGGGCGTGCGAAAGGCAGCCAAGTCATGTTTCTCTCTCTTTCCTCCCCCCTTCCCCTCTCCCTGAAGAGAAATAAATTTTTAAAAAAAATCTAGGCCCACAGCGCCATGCAAAGCCCGGCAAAGGGGTACAAGATGCCCGCATGTGACTGGAGCCACTTGCTCAGCCCCTCGTGACCAAAACCATCTGCAGTGTTGGAGTCCATCCTTCTGGAACAGAGCACGCAGAATTTCGATTTCTCCCTGATGCGCAAGGACCGTTTGCAAAGTCACAATGGTTTCTCGTGACCAAACAGACTGGCCTCTCTCTACTGCCACTTAACAAAAGGCACGGGGTCCAGGCACTCGGTTTCAGCCCGAAGATCCCTCCGTGAAGTGAGATGCCAACGTTGCTTTTCACTCTTCAGCTGAGTCCTCTTCGAGGAAAGTTTCGTCATCACGTGATTTGGACAAACCCGCAGAAAAATATTAAGACCATAAACTAGGCAGAAGCACACAGGATGGCAGGCTCAGGAAACAAGTCGGGGGCTCAGAAAAGTTGCGATCACGCCCCCAATTTTGTGGCAGGATGTGTAACTGCAGCTCGTAATGTTGACTCTCGTGCTGGTTGGGCATCTTTATTTCTCGCTGGGAAAATAAAGTTGTCTCCCGGGACATTGGACAGCCCGAGGATTCGTCTTCTATCAGAGACAACAAAAATGTATAATTTTGTTAAGTTCCCAGACTCATCGTTTTAGTACAGGAGCGCTTCCAACTCAAATTAATACGCTTGTTCAGAAGGCCATTTTTGAAAACTGTAACAGAGGAGCAAGTAAAGCACATTCCATGATACATGCGGCTTGTCTTGCCTTTTTTTCCCTCCTGTAAGACTGAAGGAGAGAAAAAGAAAAGATATTTATCATTCTAAGTCACTTCCTACAGTCTGAGGAATTCCCCTTTCAGCACTGTAACTTGGTGCTCAGCCCCACAAACCTGCAATTATCCATTGGTGGGAAATTGGGGCTTTTTTATTGGATGTGGAATTTGCAAAGAAATATATCACCTCTCCACCCGAGCTTCTGGCTTGTGCGGGTCCTTCCCGGTTTCAGTCTCGACGGGGTACCAAGACCAAAGAAACGCGGATTGGCGAAATCGGTCAGACAGAAAAAGCCTAATACTATGCGATCTCACTCACATATGGACTCTAAAGACTTTGAAGTCATAGAAAGAGTGGGGGGGACAGGGTGGTTGCCAGGGGCGGGCGATGTGGGAGATGCTGGTCGAGGGGTGCAGCCTCGCAGTCTGCAGACATGAGTAGTTCTGGGGACCCGGAGTACGGCACGATGAGTGTCGTTCACAGTGTGTTGGAAACCTGGAGGGAGCTGAGAGTAGATCTCCAGGGTTCTCACCGAAGAACGAGAAATGGCAATCACGTGACGGACGGAGGCATTAACTAACTGTATTGTGGTAATCACCTTGTAATGTGCGCATCCATCATCGCACTGGACACCTTAAATTCATACCCCACTATATCAATTATCTCTCAGTAATGCCGGGGAGAAAAGATTCTAGAAAAGAAAGGAATTACCTAGAGATGAGTGTCAGGTGACAAAGCTAAGGGAAGAAATGCGGGCATGACATCACCAAGCACTGGAATTAGAATTTCTTCTTCTTTCTTTCTTTTTTAATTTGATTCTGAGAGTACGTTTATTAAGGCTGAGGGCAGCGAAACAAAGGAAGGGCTTTAGGGCACAGGAAGCAACAGGCGAGAGCCTCGGCGGTGCTCTGCTTTGGCTCGCTGGAAATGGCAGAGGAAAGAACTGAGCCACGCTGGGCTGCGTGGACTCCCAGAGAAGTAGCGGCCACAGTGACAGAAGGGGGCCAAGGCGGGGCTGCTGCCAGCTCGCTGGAGCGTCAGAGAGAAGGGAGGTCTTGGAGATTAGCCCAGGACAAGCTCCTGCTGCCCACTGGTCCCCTGCTTGCAAGTCTCGTGGGGACCCCTACTGTTCAGGGGATGCACCCCCAAGAGGGAAGCAAGGTGTGGGCGTGCTCCAGAGAGAGCCCGCCTCAGGGACGTCTACTGCCATTGCTGTCACTTATCGGTAGTACAACATTCAGGGAGCCACTTCATATTGTTCTGTGCCTCCGATGCCTCATTTGTAAAGCCAGGACAATAACACCTGCTCCACAGAATCGTGGAAGTAAATGACAAACCCTCAGCAGACAGGCCTGGAGCACGGTAAGCAACCAACGTTAGCTGTTTACACCTTCCTACCACCAAAGAGACCCTTTCTCCGGCCCTTAATCTCCCTCTGGTATCTCCTCCTTCAGCCATTCCAACACCAAAGTCGTCAGATTTCATGAAATTGTCGGGTTAAAATCAACATGCATTGTTAATTTTACTAATGATTCCAAATTGCCCTTCAAAAACAGTAGTACATTTGACATTCAGTAGGTGCACAGTGCTGACAGGCAGAACCAGTGAGTGAGTTCAAAGACCATGAGAAACTTCTAGGTGCGAGGAAGCATTCAATGTGTATTTATCTTCAGTGAAAGAAAATGCAGTCGTTTTGGTAATGCTGAGTATTTCTGAGAAAACGGAAATAAACTCACTCCACTCCCAAACCCCCCAAAAACAGAGCAGCCCTGCCAATGTGCCCCCATCATTCTACATTCTACTTTGTCCTGACCTGACCTATATTTCCCCGAAACAATAGAGGTCAGACAAGTCCTTCATTGTTTTGTACCAAACCTGCCTCCGGACGCGCCCACTAACCCTTCTTCCTTTTCTCACATCTCAGAAGGGGCTCTCTCCTGCCCACGGGCCAGTCATTCCACCTGCGTCTGGACCTCACGCCCTCCAGCCTCTGGTCTGTGTTCACACCTTCACACGTCCGTCCTCCCTCCCTGGACCAGCCACCTGCCCCGCCACCCCCCCACCCCCGCCCCTAGCATTTCCATCACCACAAAATCGTGGATCCTGAGTTGGCCACCTCGAAGTGAGAGCCCTCCCTCTTGACCCCACGCCCCCACCTTCTTCACTCCTGCCACCCGTCCATGAGCAACTTCTGCACCCGCCACTCCACCAAACTGCCCCTTCTGACGTTCCCACGGAGCTCCTCCTCTGCCCCAATCTGAAAGTCGGCAGCCCTGGACATCAGCCCTGAGGCCCACCAGCAGACGTCCATGGCCACCCACCCATGTTCAGCGTTAGTGCACCTGAGACTGTCCCCAGCAGCTTCAACCGCAAGCACCCGCAGCGCTGCCTGAGGACCTGTTCTGGTCACAGGGGCGTGCTCAGCTCACAGGGCAGACCAGAAGTGCCTCTCAGAGCAGCTCTTACCCACAGCCGACGGGATGTGGTGGGTAAATACCCCGGGGGGAGCCTTCACCCTTTGGTGGGGATAACCTGAGGCAAGTTCTATAATACCTTTCAGAGTTCCCATGCTGGGTTGAGCCCCACTGCAATGATTTCATGCTCTCTTGGTCAGGGGTTGCTATGGACTGAATTGTGCCCCCCAAAAATCCATATGTGGAAACCCTACATCCAGTGTACTTGGAGGTGGGGTCTTTGGGAGGTAATTAGTTCAGATGAGGTCATGAGGGTGGGGCCCTCGGGATGGGATTAGCGTCCTTGGAAAAAGATGTCAGAGAGTTTGCATTCTCCCCCCTCCCCCTCTCTCCCCTCTGACCTCCACCACATGAGGACCCAGCAAGGAAGTGGCCATCCGCAAGCCAGGAACACAGCCTTGGCCAGGGCCCCATCGTGCTGACGCCCTGATCTCAGACTCGCAGCCTCCACAAGTGGGAGAAATGAATTTCTGTTGTCTGTAAGCCCCAGCGTCTGGTGCTCTGTTACGGCAGCCCGAGCTGACTCAACGGGGATTTTGTGGTTAGTGAGTGCAGAGACTGAAGTCAGCTGATCGAAGAGGCGCCGTCCAGGCTGGATGTCAAACCAGGAGGCCTGGCCCTACACACAGACTGGTGAGACCACAGAAGGGGGGTCACATACTCCCTACGTCACCGGGTAGGTGTGAGGGTTGAAGCAGATGCCTCACTCCCTCGGCTCAGCACTGCACTAGGGCACACATGGGGCCGTCCTTACTCTGCAGATCATCTGACTCAAAAACCTTAGTTTGCAGGTGGGGAAGCTGTGGCTAAGACAGGGCAATGGACTTGCCTGGCGTTGTCCTACCATTAAAGCTTGCTTTTGTAAGATTTACAGGCCCAGCAATAAAGAAGGAAGGTGAAGTTTGACTGTACCTTGATATTCAATTAGATAGGAGGGCACCGAGCGTCTGTGAAGCGTCTGAAATGCCGAGGCCGCAAGCACGCTCCGGTCCAGATTCTGCGGCTGTTGTCCTCCTCTGAGGCTGCTGGCTGCTCCCCCATGGAAACTCCAGACCGGGTTCCACAAAACGACACTCTCCTGATCACCTAGCATGAAAAGGGGGAAGAAGAAAAACGTAAAAGGCAGAAGGAAAAGTGATTTATGGGGGGTTCCCAAGAAGCAGCGTCTGTGGCAGGATTCCCGCGCACTGAGTCGGGGGGAGGGCTGTCGGGATGGGGCAGGGGCGAGGCCAAGAAGGACGCCACCTCAAGCAGAGACTAGCCTGACCCCACGGGGAGCTCCGGAGCGTGAACTGCACCAGCAGCTGGTCCCACCTGGCAGAAGGAGACCTGCCCTTGTTAGTCAGCGGAGTGGGCAGCCAGGGCAGGGCAGGTGGGGCTGAGGGCAAGTCTGCCCAGATGGGGGCAGCAGTGAGTCATTGGCAGCCAACACTCAAAGCAGCTGGGGGCTACGGGCACCTGCTCCTCAGAACGGATCAGGGCAGAGCCCCATCCACTGTGGAGGGAGGCAGGAAGGGCAGCTGCGTTAACCGATCACCTCGATGATGAACAACGCCTGCAGCGCGCTGGCTGCTTCTCAGGGACCCCAGGGCCCTAGCTAAGAGTAGAACATGGAGCCAAGGGAGGAGAGCTGACTGCCCGGCTCTGCCGCCCATTTGCCCAGTGACTTTAGACGAGCCCCACCCGGTCCCCACTCCGGGCTCCACCTCCCCGCCTGTGGCAGGAGGGGTGTGACCAAATGTCCCCTGAGGCGCCTTCCTTGTCTGAGGCTGGGCAGCTCCAGATTCCTGGTCAGGGCCAGAGCTGGGCAGGCTGACTCTGGGGACACTCAAGACTTAGGGGATCACAGGGCAAAAGGCTCAGGGATAGCAAACCCCCAGGGCCTCCCAAGGCACTCTCTGCCTTGTCTCTGTAGAGGATGCACTGTCAAAATACTGTGTCTAAAAACAAACGAGGCCAGCCGAAAATGAAAGCACACACCGCACATGCATCCCCAACCAACAGGAACCAGGCAGAGCGGCAGCCCTGGAGCGGACACACCCCCAGGACAGGAGCCGGTCTGCCTCATGGGGCCTGTTTTTGTCAGAGGCCACAGACAGCGGCTCCTCGGGGAACTGGTGACGGAGAGGGGGCTGGAGGCTCTGGGGTCTTCCCAGAAACAGCACTGCCCCAGAACCTTCCAGGACTCCATTTCAAGGGCCTGGGGAAAGAGAGGCCTCTCAACCAGAGTGGAGTGATTGGGGTGTGTCACTGGCACCAACAGAAAGCCCCTGCGACCGGCTGAGGAAGCTGAACTTGGACAGGAAAGCCACTTGCTCAAGGTCAGGAAGCTACAAAGCGGCTCAGATGCGACCTAAAGTCAGGACTGTGGAACCCCAAGCCCCACGCTCTCAGCCCCCAGATGGACTGCGGAGATGAAGTCAGAGGACGTTCCCCACAGCAGGCCAACCTGGGTCATCAACAGAAAGTAGCGGAGGTTCTGGGCACAAGCCTGACCTTTGAAATGGACCTGGTAAAAGGAAGTCACCATGCTGGTCCAAAAACCAAGTGTCCATCACCCTATCAAAGACAAAAATGAAGGACTTCCGCCAAGATGGAGATGTAGGTGGAGGAACCACCTTGCCTCTGTGCACAACCAAATCTAAGAACAACTATTTTTAACAACAATCACAACCAGGCCACACGGAAAATCGACAATATGGAGTCCAAAGACAACTAAATGCTCAGCTAAATCGGTAAGAGAAGCGAAGCCAGCAGCAGAGCAGGTTAGCAAGGAAAAATTCCCGGGTGGTGCGCGGTGCGCAAGCAGCCAAAGGCGCTGATCGCGGGCTAGCTATGGGAGCACACAAGGAAGAGGCGCAGCGGGCTGTCTGCGGTCGGTCGGTCGCACATCTGCGTGTGGAGAAACCAGTGAGAAGGGAAGCCTGTGCGGGGCAGCAGGCTCGCACAATTCCGATCGGATAAACAGGCCCGGGGTGACTGCTGTGACCGGATGGGCTGGGCTAGCGGAGAGGACCGCCATTGCTCCCTCTCTGACCACGCCCCCACACACAGCGTCACAAACCAGCGACCTGGGTCGCCCCGTCGTGGTAAACAACTAAGGCTTCGCTCCGCTTACTTAACAGCACGAATAGACCAAAAATGGCTCTAGGACAACTCAGAGCCCCAGAACCGATAGATTTAAGCGATGAAGAAATAGCCAGTCTTTCAGATGCACAGTTCAAAACACTGGTTATCAGGATCCTTACAGAACTGGTTGATTTTAGTCACAAATTAGAGAAACATATGGAAGCTAAACTAATTGAAATGAATGGTGATACAAAGGAAACCAATAGTAATGGAAAGAAAATTGGGACTCAAATCAAGGGAGTGGACCAGAAGGAAGAAAAAAATGATCAAACAGAAAAGAATGAAGAAATAAGAATTCAGAAAAATGAGGAGAAGCTTAGGAACCTCCAGGACATCTTTAAATGTTCCAACATCCGAATTATAGGGGTACCAGAAGGGGGAAAGGCACAGCCACCAGTGGAAAACTTATTTGAACAAATAATAAAGAATTTCCCCAATCTGGCAAAGGCAATAGACTTCCAAGAAATCCAGGAAGCTCAGAGAGTCCCAAAGAAGTTGGACCCAAGAAGGAACACACCAAGGCACATCATCATTATATTAGCCAAGATTAAAATGAAGGAGAGAATCCTAGAAGCAGCAAGAGCTAAGGGGACAGTCACCTACAAAGGAGTTCCCATCAGACTGTCAGCAGATTTCTCAAAAGAGACCTTACAGGCAAGAAGGGGCTGGAAAGAGGTATTCCAAGTCATGAAATCCAAAGACCTACAACCAAGATTGCTCTATCCAGCAAAACTTTCATTTAGAATGGAAGGGCAGACAAAGTGCTTCTCAGATAAGACCAAATTCAAGAAGTTCATCATCACCAAGCCCTTATTATATGAAATGTTCAAGGGACTTACCTAAGAAAAAGAAGATAAAAAAGATGAACAGTGAAAGGACAGCAAACTCACAGTTAGTAACAACCACACCTAAAACAAAAGCAAACTAGATCAGGACAGCTAGATCAGGAGCAGAACCATAGAAATGAAGATCACATGGAAGGTTAGCAACAGAGGAGTGGGAGGAGGAGAAGGGGGGAGAAGGTACAGAAAATAAGTAGCATAGACAGTAGATAGAAAATAGATAGGGGGGAGGGTAAGAACAGTAGGGGAAATGCAGAATCTAAAGAATTTGAGACATGTGGTCATAAACTAAAGGGGGAAATGGTAGGGGAGGGGTATGGAGGGGGGGAATAGAGCAAATGTAATGGCATAATCAATAAAAAAAAAAAAAAGACAAAAATGAGCTAGAAGGACCAAGCATGGCATAGGTATGTCCTTCAGGCACCTCCAAGCCAACGGCAGGCATGGGCTTGCTCTTGGGAAGGACGTTTTACAGGTCAGAGCTGGAGGTGGAACGGCCCAGAGACAACAAGCCCCTCGTCACAAGGGCGTTCGAAGTCTGGGCCCACCCCACCACTTTACGACTAGCATCTCCAATACACAGCAGAACTTCTCACCTCTCAGTCGTTTTTTGGGGTTTTTTTTGCAGATTTCTTTTTTTTTTTTTAAGATTTTATTTATCTTTAGAGGGGAAAGGAAGGAGAGAGGGAGAGAAATATCAATGTATGGTTGCCCCTCATGTGTCCCCTGCCGGGAACTGGCCTGCAACCCAGGCATGTGCCCTGACTGGAAATCAAACCACAATACTCTCAGTCTTAATCCACCCCTCTGCTCGTATGTCCACGAGCCCTTTCCATGCTGAGGGACTCCGAGCCATTGTCACAGACCTGCACTCCAACCACACCCCAACATGTTTGGGGACCGTCCCCCTGCGCTCCCATGACTATTTGCCTCTTCCCCCATCTCTTTGGTCATCATCTAACACAATGACTCTGCTCCCCGGCCCACCCCGCCACCCTCCGGAACCTGGCCCCATGCCCAATTCTAAGCAGGCTCCAATGACCAGGTTTTGTGCAAGTAACTGGCTCATGTGGTTGGCTCTCCTGCCTTCCCATCTTCCCAGAAAGAAAACCCGCACCCAGCACACCCGCCGTGCAGCCCTGGCCAACCTGCAAGTCCTGGGCTCACAGGGGAGAACCCCTCCCCACTCCGCCTGGAAGCTTGTCGCTGGAAGCTAATCAGGTCATCTGGGAAGCTCGGCCACAACAGTGTCTTTTTAAAAACAAAAAACTCAAAGAAGAAATATAACCAGGAACTCATTTAGGAGCATCTAGGCTCAAAAAACCATAAGGGTCAGTGATATGTCAAAAATAAGAATGCTTCCCGATCCTCCAGGGGCACACGGGCGTTTGACGGTGCCCAGCCCTTGGCACTGCCTGCCTCATGGATGCTGAAACGCATCTTCCCCGCCTCCCTCGGAATCTGCTGTTTCAGCACTGAAGACAATCCTCTGGCCCGGGGCCCTGTGGGCCAGATGGTCAGCGTCCTGTCAAGCAGGATGCAGTTCCCCAGAGTGGGGGTGCAGGGTGCTGGGGCTCGGCTGAGAGCCCAGTGATGGACAGAGGCAAGAGCCCGTTCTCTTCTAAGGAGGTGTACTCGGACGGCTGGCCGGTGCCCAGAGAGAGGCCAAGTCCAGCAGAATGTCTCCAACCAAGTTGTCCCACAGAGAACCTCAGCCAGCCCTTATGGGGACACAGGGGCACCCCCAGGATGACCTCCAAGAGGACACCATTTGACTTGATAATTAAAACACCTCACACTATACAGAGCTCTGTTATTTGCAAATGGTTTTCACACATACCCTTCCCTTTAGTCCCCCCAGAATGGGACAGAATGCCATGGGTCTCTCTCTCCCCAGGTCACATCTGGAGCCTGAGCCCCAGAGACGGAAAACGGCTTTCCTAGACCAGTTCCCCTGAACCCTACCGTGAGCTCCCCGATGGTGTCTTAAGAGTGATCACCAGCAGCATCATCTTCTCATCTCTCTGTCTACAGTTCCAGTCCGGGGCCTGCACACGGTAGGAGCTCTAGAAGAGTTTGTTTAACTGAGCTCTATTCAGTTCTATTTGCACAGCG